GTGGACTTTCTTACATGTGAAAAAGGTCCAATGGAGCAACAGAATTAAAAGTCTGTGTTGTGTTTCCAGACACCGTCAATGCCACCGGAGCTTGAAAATCCTTCAGTCATCAGCGGTGGACGTAAGGAACCACCAAAACTGGCTAAGAACAACAAGGAGCATCCAGTTACCACCATCCAGCCTCCTGAATCCAGCTCCAGGTCAGGGTTAAAAACAGAAAAGAAGGTTAAAGCCCTGCCACCATGGAGAGACTCAGACAGACACCCAAAGGATACAATACGCTTCAACTACCTGGACAACCTGGATCTCGTGGAGCAGACCTTTAGAGAGTGAGGATGTTGGAAACACACCTTTTTGTTTTTTGAACTCTTAGACTAAAATACTTAAATCTATGCCCAGGCAAATGAGAAGCAAAACCTCCACATGCCGCAGCGGTGCATCCCAGAACGGTGACGGAAAGAGAAAAACACCGTCTGAGGCCACATACAAACTACGCAAAGCTAAGTCTCTGGTAATTCTTCACCATTAGCTTTCGGTGACAGTTTACCTTCTTGTCTGAATTTTAGAGAGGGATGAGCAATGCAACTGTGTTACCAGGAGGCATCATACATTATGAAGTAGCACTTTAAAACTTAATCATGTTAATGTTGAGAGAGAGAGAAGGCTTTTTGCTGATTATGGTGGATGAAACGGGTAGCACATATTAAAATACCTAGAATATATATTCAGGCATCTCATCATGTTACCACCTAAAACAAAATGGATTTTTCAGGGGATTTGTTGTGTTTCGTCAACCAAGAAAAACATGCCCATAGCATGATGCAGCCACCACCATGTGTCATCATGGGGATGACTGTAAATGGGACTTCTTGTGAACGTGTATCAACAACAGCCTTCTGCGTTTGTACCTCTTTTCTGTCAGATGTTCCTCAGAGCCCAGGACTCCTCTCCACCTGCTCCTGCTAATCGTCTCCCCACAGACCCTCGGATCCAAACCCGCCCTTTATGGGCATCTCCTGTTCAGGACCACCCTATCACCATTGCGACAGCCATGAACCTGCTCAGCATGACCCGGTGGAACGCCGGGGTCCGACCCGGGCCAGTGAGGACGGCGGTGCCCCAGTTAAGTTTGGAGGCCCTCAAGGCAGCCCAGCGCTCTCAGCGGAGCACTCCCAGTAAGCAGTCTCACTTGTTCTGATTCTTTAGGCAGAATCTGATGTAACTGTATAGTAAGAGAAACGTCCACAGGAAAGAGACTGAATATGAGTAATTCTGCAAGAAAACACCTGCAAGCTGCTTGTGACCCGATTAGAAATGTTAGAACCTTGTTGAGTTTTCACCGGTTTCAAATTGTTATCTCCTATAGTTTAGAGAATATTACATTTTTAGCTAACCACAATGGTAAATCACTCATGGCATATCATTTAGTGGTGCACTAGCATGTTAATGCATACACACCTGACGTGTTTCTCTAAAAGTTAAACTCCCACCTCTTGATACTCTGGGAGAAAAAAAAATCCATACGGTATTCTGAATGATTTGGAGAAAAAGCTAACCAATTTTCTCAAGCTAATTCTGCTCTCACTCGAGGGACATAAGATGGTGACTTTAAAAAATGTACAAAAATGTATCTAATCTGAATAGAAGTTCAAGCCTTTTACCCTTGGTAAAGTGCTTTGTATTTAAACTCATTTACTGTTGAGCCTGGCATTCCCCACAGTTCACTATTCAGTCCATTATTATTTCTTTTGAACGTAATCTTTTTTTTTTCTTTTTTACTAATTTTCTAAGTTGTCCAACTTTATAAGCTTTTAGATGACAGAAATGTGTTTTGTTCGATTAAATACTGAAATTAAATTTCCATCATTTTGAAAGAAAAAACAAAACAGAACCTAAAAAAATCTAAACCAATCAATGATCTAACCAATCTGTTTTTGTTATCAGTGTTTTGATAGCTGCTGTTTTTAGATCCTGGACAAAAACACCTGATAAAATAGATGAGTTTACTATTTGACTCAGATCAGATGCAACGACAGGCAAAACTTTCTGAAAGAAAGTTGTTAGTAGGATATTAAGACAGCAGTAGAATGAGCTTAATTGATGCGTCAAGTTTTGATATGTATAAAAAAAATCTTCATGACAAAACTTGATTGTCTTTGCTTGCAGGTATACGGTTGTTCAACTTTTGAGGTGCAGCTCAACACTGCCCCCAGCAGGACAATGTTATCAGCACTGAGCAGAGTTTCAGGAGAACTTAATCTAAAATTGATCTTGATTATGTCCTTCAAACCTTTTGCATTATTTTTTTGCAAGGAATCAATGTATTTTTGGGATCAAGTTGAGAGTTTCTGGAAAAATGTCTTTTGTAAGTCTTACCTGAACCTCGCAAGCATTTGGCTTGAGTTTATTATTTGAAGACATTTGAGACATTTAAACTTATTTTTTCAAATGTCTATGTGACATAGAAAGTGTTTTATGGGCCAAATGGAATTACAATTAAAACGTCTGCAAAACATGTCTCTTTCTCCATTCTTCATTATTTTGTCCATCCAAATTGTTCACTTGGTGATTAATTGTAATACTTGTCCTGGCCACAAGAGGGTATAGTAAACAGAAATAAGTATAAACTTTAAATAATGTATTTATTGCTGCTAGTAATTTGCTCCTTTCACCATTTTTTATTACAGGAGTTTTAATGATATAAAAATTTGCAATGTTGTGAATAAGAACAAAAAGCCTTTAAGAAATGTACCACCTTTATTATCCAATTCAAAACTCCCATCCAGTATGCAAGAACACAGCTGAAGCAACTTCCATAAACAGTGAGCAGAAATCTGAACAATATTGAACAATAACTGTCAGTTGAAGACAAAAACAAAAAGATTAATAATTAAAACAAAGTCTTTCATTCAGCAAGCAGCTGGGGCCGAAGAAGGTCCCTGACAGAAGACGTTGGCGGGTCTCTTCAGTCAGAAATGAGACTTATATGATACTGCAATCTCATTGCATCAAAAATATGGCTCGCACCCATGATTGGATGCATGTCGAAATACAACAAGATGTTAAAGAGATGTTAGTCTGAAGCGTTAATGTAGGGACAGGAGTGGCTGCGGCTCATTTTAATCCTCCTGCAGTCTTAGGAGAGGGGGGTCAGTTAGGCCCCTGCGCGTGGTCCGCACTGAACCCGCCTGCGCCTGTACGTTTTTTTTTTTTTTGTGTGGTTTTGGAAACTGACAATCTGACGGGATAACCCATCCACTGTCCTGCCTGTGATATTTGCTCGGCGTCGTTCTAAGACCCCAGGAAGGTTAAGTATGGCTTTATGGATTCGGCACAATTGAAACAGGTTTTTCCATGCTTCACCATAACCTTTGTCAGCTTATTTAAGGCAATGCATGGCATCAAGATGGCCCTCTGGCATTTCCATCGTGAGCTCCAGATTTACGTTGTGGTAAAATAAAAAGACAACAAAAGTTTTAAACGGCTACCCTACACATTGATGTCCATTAATACATATTCTCTCTCTCTCTCTCTCTCTCCATCTTTCATTGGTCTTCAGAGTTTATAGTAAAAAAAGAACCACAGTTTAACAGTCACAGATTGTCCAACCTAGTTTGAGAGAAGTAAGGTAAGCACCCAAACACACACACACACACACACGCACACACACGCAGACACAACCAGGTGAGGCAGCCGGAGGATCTGCTCAGTGCCGGCGGAACTGTTTCACTTCCCCTCCATAGTTTGATTTATCAGAAAGGAGTAGCGCAATGTCAAAGGTCACATTTAAAATTAAATGTAAAAAGCAAAACAACAAAAAAACTGGGCACTTCAGAGAACAAGTGAGTTGTTTTTTTTTTGTCATTTAAAATTTCCAACAACAGGGTCAAAAATATCTCCTTTTTTTACTAATTATAATTTATTTAGAATTAAATATTTTTGGTCTTTCTGTTAAAAGAACGATTACCAGCAAAATATTGGCCCACATGGTAAAGATGTGTATAAATGCATCTTTTATTCCAGTAGCAACATCTTAAATTGAAAAACTGTGTTACACATTAATTGGCTGCAAGAATTTTTTCTGTGTAGGTCTTGAGGAGTTACACAAGTGTATCAAATTTCAGAAGCACTGGTCAAAGCGTGGGTTGTAGCTGACTATTTTAATGCTCCTAGGGGGCGCTGTAGAGGTATTTTACCATCTCTACCCAATTTTTTCATAAAAATTGGGTAGAGAATTAGTATCCATTGTGTTGAATTTGGTGCAGGTCAGGTGGTGGGTATATGTAGTTTATTATTTTCAAAATAAACTACACTAAGACTGAAATTTGTATTTGTAGTTTTGCCAGAGGGTAAATTAAAAATGATTGAACTTTCAAGTATTTCCAATGTAAGATCATGCTGCTGTGATAAAAGATGGATTTATTTTAAGCCTTTAAAGATTTTAACCGGTGGTGCCACTAAAAACGGGCAGCACAGTTACGATGAAATTTACCCAAAAACATGGCACAGCATGTAGCTTTTAAAATAAGCTAAAAAAAATACAAAAACATTTGATTGGATCATTTCTAATCACTTTCAACAACCCACCCTCCATCGATTCTTCATTCCAACAGAGATGAAGTCCGTTTGACTCCTGAGACTTTAATGCATTTCTCGGAAATCTCACACCGTGGTGCAAAGGTGAACTGGTGAACTGAAGCTGGATTTTCTAAAGTTGGTATCCCAAAAACAAATTTATTCTGCATCAGAATCTCATATTAAGTTCAACATTAAATTTCATTGTCAGCTGGGATTTTTATGCTGCCTTGCTCATGTGCAGCAGCTTTCAGAGATCATTTTTCACCATCCGGGAAGGCAAATGTTATCAACTTCTAAAAGCCTTTCACAGGATGCTTTTGAGTTTTTTTGTTTGTTTTTTTATGGTGGAAAAGTGGAAAGTAATCAAATCTGCAGGGCGAAAATAAACCGGAGTGTAGGATTTTTGCACAAGACACACAAGCATGAACAAACCTTTTTTTTTTTTAAATAATGTAAACATTTACATCTTGTCTGAGGTCAGCAGAATGATCCTCTTCATATCAATATTTATAAAAAGAAAAAAAATGTTACTGGAGCATCGACTGGATGTTTTTTGGAGTGGACTCATCGTTCAGGTGTTTGGTGGTGAATCTGAGGAGACAAAATGGACTTTAGATTAGAAAAAAATAACAATTCTATTAAAATTAGGAATCCACCGGTTCACTTTTTTTCCGCTTCTGATACAGATATTGATATCTGCAGTTTAGTTATCGTCCAAAACCGATCCATATATAGTTACAGAGAAATAGAGCTGAATTGACTAAAAACGCTTGGTTTTTTTTAAACGCAGATATAAATGTACTGAATTATACATTTATTTGATAACGCTGAACCAGTACAGCACAATTAAATACACCAATAGCTTCACAAGTTTGGTCATATGTGTAAATATAACTTCCATTTGTTCAGTCAGTGCAATTAGAAACATAAGAGCCAAGGTAAAATAAATAATAAAGAAACTGAAACTGACAAAAACAAACTGCAACAAACCTTCTTTCAAATAATTCAGAAAGTAAATAATAGAGCATGATGTTGCTCAAAGCACAAAGCATAGAATTAGACTGAATAGATTGGCCTATATGGATACCCAATCTAGATTTTCTTTCCAATATCAGGGCTGATACACATATTAATATGGGATCGGTGCGTCTCTAATTAAAACCTGCTTAATAAAAAGTACGAACTTGAGAGCATTCAAGAGTCCTTCGACGTTGTCGACCGGCTGGTCCTTCAGCACCTTTATGCAGCCTTTCATCTGGAGGAAATAAGTCCGAGTGAAATCACATGGAATCAAAAGGCGACTTCGTCTTTACAGAACAGAAGCACAACAAATGTCTTCTTACATCTATCTTGGAGGACTTGGTGAAAGCACCATTTGGATGGACGTGGTCGTAAAGAATGATCACTCCCACCATCACCCTCATGCAAAACAAGAGTGTGTCCTTGCTGCTGAAGCGACTTGAATATTCCCTAAAAAAAAAAAAAATCATTCAAAAAGTTTATTTAAAATTGATTTTCTTAGAAAATTACTTAACAACAAAACACTCAATTAAACCACAAAAGGTGAAGAAGTTGACTGTAACTCATGCAAAAGGATCCCTGAACAACCAACCACTGAGTCCACATACTGAACAGGACATGGACATAATGTTCACCAACTTGACAATTTTTGTCTTTAAAAATTGTTTTTTACCCATTATATGTCAATGTGAATTTCTGAGAAGCTGAATTTTGGTTTTCATTAGCAGTAAGCCAAAATCGGCACAATTATTAGATATAGACACCTAAAAAATACCAGTCTGTTTGTAATCAATCAATAAAACTCATGAGCTTAATTTCTGGAGCTGAAATAAATGAACTTAACGGTATTGTGATTTCCAGTGATGTAATGCGCTGTTTTGTTTCACTTGTAACAAAAATGTAAAACAGCAATAAGAGTGAAGTCTAAACATATTTCAACTTAAAACATAAACACAGTTTTACACCTTTCTTCATATGGTAACTGGCCATCTAATTTTATAATGAATGTAGACAAAAGGATTATTGCCAACTTAACCTTTAATCCTGTCGCTTTAACAAACAGATTAAGTGTGTGTGATAAGATTTGAACTTAGTGCAGAAACTCACGGCGTCTCCAGCATGACCTTACACACGCTGGCCATGGTGCTGAGGCAATCTGTCGTGTTCTCCAGTGGAAGAGTTTTGTTCTAGAAAAGTCAAAGAAAACAGACTTTGTTACTGATAATAATCACAGTTTTTCCACCCCTTAGTTTAATCTTGAGTTGATGAAATGAATAAAAATCAAAGTTCTGCACTATGTAGAAAATCATGTAGCTTCAAGATAAAAGTCCACAGATAAATGATTAAACCTCAGACAAAAATCAAAGCAGTATCAGTGGTGGTCACTGCAAAAATCTTGAAGGGTCGTTTCTACTCAATCCAAGTCATTCCAGTTAGATGTTGTAACTTTACTGTTAGCATTGTTGCATCACAGACATTATTTCCTGCGACTGCTTCTTTAAAGTCACTGCTTACGTCTTTCCCTTTGAGGTGTTGCTAAGACACACAGTGTACTCTCTAGAACTACAACTTCTGTTTAGAGCACTGGTCACTCTTGTTGAAAATCAATTAGCCATAAGTAGACTTTAGATATGTTTTTATTTAGGGCTGGGACTTTAACGTGTTATTTTTCAATTAATTCATTACATATATTTTAACACATGAAAATTTTTTTAGAGAAATTAATCACATTTTAAAAATTCTTTAATAGACAAAATTTCCAAGCAGGAACTTTACATTTGTGCGCATTTTTTATACACTGGTAAATTTGACACCCAAGCGACATCCGCTAGCGGCGGCAACGGACCACAATGCTGCTTCTCCTGGCCCACACAGGGTTCAGTTCAGCTTTAAAAAATATCTGATTGGACGCTGGTAGCAACTATTGTTAGCCTATCAGCTATTCAAACCTAAAGTAGCATCTCAATGCTAACCATGTTGTAGCAGGACATATGTCCCCAATTATAACATTAGCATCCACAGTCCATATTTCTAAAGAATATCCATGAATGATCGGTGGTTCCTGATTGGGTATAATAAGCACTTTGTTACCATTGGTAACAAAGTGGTAACCATTATGGTTACCATTACCATAATGGTTACGTAAAAGATTAAAAACAATAAATATCTTTGTTTTTGGGCTCATGCGTCTATTCATTCAATAATTTAGAAGCAAAAAGTGTATTTGAGCTGAAAACGTTGCTTATTTTGTCGATACATGGCCCTAAAATGAACTATTACCATTCTACACCACTAGTTTTATTTCCCTTCCAGTCCCCCTGTACGTTTGACTAAAGGATAGTTAGATGATTATGTTGCAGCAGCGTTCTCACCTCCGACACAAAGTTTGTCGTCGCTGTGCTCAGTGTTTTCAGCATGGGTGTGGCCTCAGCGTAGAACAGAGACATCCTGTTGGCCATCTCATTGTTGACTTCATTTTCAATGTCCAACTATGGATGAAAACACACAACAATTAACGGGATGAAATGCTATTTTTTTGTGTGTGTGTGTTCAATGATCAAGAAAAAAGTCGTCTTACATTCATGTTGTTTATTCGGTTCCGGCTGATGGTCCTCCTGTAGTAGCTGAAGTCGTTCTGGATGGCAGGAATCCTCATCTGTGTCAAGACATCCAAACAATCCTCGGTCAACACACACAGCGCTTTTATGTGAGGGTGGGAGTGTGTTGTCTGTGTGTGTAGTAGACCTTGAGCTCGTCAAAGCGCAGAGTGAAGTGGAGGATCTCAGCGAACTGTTTGGCCAGCGCCTGCTCCCTCTCCAGATGCTGAGTGGGAGTGAGGGGCGGGCAAGTCAGCGACTTCAGCAAACTCTTCAGAGCCTCTTCTGCAGAGCATAAGGCATTTCATAAGACTAAAGTATTTCTGTTTGGCTGTGAAATGACACGTTCACAGCATTGTGTGACTAAGTGCATGACAGTGTGGGGTCAGTGTGGGGTCACCTAGTCTGAGGGAGAAACTGTAGAACGTCTTGAGTTTGATGACCAGCGGGCAGACGGAGTTCCAGGCTCGCTCCTGCAGCGACATGTCATTGGGATTCTGGATCGCCTGGAGAGGCAGAAAGCAAAAAGTAAAAGTATTAGTCAGATCATTTGAAGCTGCAGTATGTAACTATTACAGAAAATATTTTTTATTACATATTTGTTAAGACTCTCTATGTCGTATATGAAACAGATAATCTGTGTAATAAAAAAGCTCCTCTGCCTTCTCCCAGTGCTAACTAGAAACAACCAGGTCTTAGCGCTGTCAATCACCACCCTCGTGGCACAACTCCAACCCCCCTCCGCTCCTCTCTCTCTCCATCTCTTGCTCTCTGCTATGCTGCCGTCGTGAATAATAAGGTTAGTTAGCATAACCACTGATGATGATGGATAAACGACTTTCCTGTAAAGATAAGTTATTTCTCCTCCATTAGCACATTGAGAAGCGTGAACATGAGCATGATTGACATCACATAAGGTGTTTTCTTTATAACTTTGTGCTTTTAGTTTGTAAAGCAAACTCAACCGCCTTGCTATACAAATAAACTTGATTGATAAACTGTCACGACATGGTGACAGTTTTAACAAATATGTAAAACACATACTTTCTATAAAAGTTAAATACCGCATCTTTAATCCCATTTTGAAGCAAATCCTAAAGAGTGTGTGTGATGTGTGTTTTCTTACATCTCTGATCTCCTGCCCCGCCCCTTTGTAGCCCTGCAGCCCCGTCAGGATGCTCTCAGAGTCCTGCAGGACCGAGTTCAACTGGTTCCACACCTTACGCTCGCCTTCTGTCGGCTGTGCATCTACGACCAAATCAAAACTCCAGTCATTTATACTCCATTACAATTAACTACTTCAGGCTGTACAGGATTTTATTCTTAGCTGAAGTAAATATCTCAGTTTATATCCACTTAATATCATATTAGCTTTAGGGATTTTGTCATTAATTTCAACCATTTCTTTTAGATGGGGTTGGAAAAAAAACGGCAATAAAAACAAGAACTGGGTGCACAAGTCACATGAGTTAATAATCAATTATTAATGGCATATAAATTAAAATGAGTTTGATCATTTCCATTCAGATGACCCGTTTCTTGTTTTTAAAACTCATTACCATGAAGACAATAAATAATAACAATAATAATAATGATGATGATGAATGTGAATCTTTCACTGGAATCTGAATGCATGCAGGCAGTAACTGGTAACGAGCTTTAGATGGTTTGGGATTAGTGAGATAAGCGTGAAAATTAAAGGTCTACAAAACTAGCATGTAGGCTAATATCAGCTACTTACATGTATAATAGTATAATGTGTGCATGAATCTCCTGGAGCAGCTCTATATATAGAAAATCCCTGACATTAACACTGTGTCTCAGGTCTGTTTTGCATTTCAAAAACTTGCTACTCCCATCATTTCCTCTCTGCTGAATAAACAAAGCCTGAGGTTGACTGCAGTGGGAGAACAGCTGAAATGCCATTGTGGAGGTGTAGTGTAAGTTTCTTCTTCTTCTGTGGGAGGTCTCAGCAGAAGGCCGAAGCCAAAATCCACCAGTCTATATTAGATTTATCCTAGTTACTGCCTCGGATCACAGAGGAACTGACACTTATGCAAATGTGTACACTAATTGCAGAAACGAACAAAATGCATACAGAGAACTTAGCGAAAGCAAGACGGCACAGGTCAAAAAGGTCAGGCTCCTTCTTTCACAAAAAGATGAATGAAAGATAACAGAGGAGACATTAGAAATTCAAAGAGACAATTGAGACGTTGAATAGGCTGACCCCTGACCAGGCACACTAAAGGAAAGATGTTCAGGGGGAAAAAAAAATTAAAAGAAGGGAGGTAGGCATGTTGGGAGTTTAGAAAAGGGACAGGAATAAAGTCGTGCTCACTTTCAAAGTCAAGGAAAAAGTTTGGTCCCTGTTCAAGCTCTGTGCAAGTGAGCACTTTTAACAGATTCCCCATTTGGTTTCTGCAAGACATGGAGAGGAAAAACACAGGGAAAGGAAGAAAAGGAGTTCATGTTAAAAAAAAAAAAGAGTCATAAACAGAGCAGGAGGTCATAGCTGTGCCGAGAAAGGAGGAAGAAGTGCAGAAGCAGAGAGTGAAACGAAATTATTATTTTTTTGTTTTGTTTTGTCTTGCGCAGAAATCAGCTGACAGAAAGGAGACAGGAGCAGGTTAGGGTTCACCCCCCTCCACACACGGCGTCCAACTCAGACCGCAGACTTACTTTCAAAGTCCAGGAAAAAGTGTGGATAGTTCTCTATTTCTCTTGTAAGGACTTTTAGCAGGTTACCCATTCCAGCAAACCTGATGGTCAAAATAAATGGGTTAAAAATATATATATGTATATATTTTTATACACACACACACACACACACACACACACACACACAAGTCAACAATAAGACAGTCTATGTTTACATACAACACATTCACTGGCATAAAATGGTAACCACCCAGAGTCAGAGATGAGATTTATTTAACCGAGTTACTATTCTGGCTGCCAGTGTCTATTAGTTAAGGAGTTCCTCAGGGAGTCATGTTTGGACCGCTATTCTTCAGGCAGTCCGCTGAGTCACATCATTGATGAATACTTCTCATTTCATTGTTGTGCAGATGATATGCAGAGTTTTATGTTCTGTTGACCATTCATCTGAACTGCCAAGAAATATATTTTGAAAAATGGCTTTCTTATTTTCTATTAAACGACAAAGTTCTTGGTTGAATGATACATCCAACTCTATTTTTTGTCACCTTTCAGTTTTTTTGGTGTCACTTTTTTGTTGCTCGTTATACATTTGTTGCTGCACACATTATTTCTGTCTTTCATAGCTAAACTGAATATTTTGTGTCCATTTGTTATTATTTTACAGTTTATTGGTTAACCCCTGGTTGCCCCAAATGTGATTTATAAATAAAGTTAATTTTATTAAAGAATAAGCTCCATATAGTAGTTTGAACTTCATTTTTCCCCACTTTTTCTGAGATCCTTTCATGTTCTGCATTTTGGCAGACCCATTTGTTGCCAAATGGTTACTTTTCTATTTTTTTCTTCACCAACTGCTTCATCTTTGATTTTAATCTCATTTAATTTAATTTCATACATGTTTGTTGTACATGTGAGTTTGAATCGGTTTCCAGACCGATTAAGAGGTTTGGAGAGCTAAATGTACCCCAAAAACCCTCTGAGCATCTGAACCAGCCTCTCCACTGTTTTGAATTTTGTGTCTGTGGCTTAACACCGGGGTGGAGCCCTAAATTACAGCTGTGCACTCTGAAGCTTTTACTGGAGGCAAAAAGCAGCAGGTAGGTACTAATTTCCAGGCAAAAGTCCCCAACAGTGGAGGGTGGTCATAAACTCTGTAATCACAGCAGGTTTTTAAACGTACAGTAGCCCAACAAGAGGGTGAGCATTACGGTTAGGACTTTGACGTCACACTGGTGCTGGAATTGTAACTAAAAACAAACAAAAAATGATTTTTAAGAAGGAATTTTAAGGTCAGACGTCCAAAGCTGGCGCTCTGTGTAAAGGAGCCGAAAGACACCAACATCTTTCTCACACACAAAGTTCGAACTTTCGTGGTTCATGGTGGAGTGGCAACAAAAGACACACTGTGCTGCGGTGTGCACATGATAATCACACAGCACAGCCTCCAGCAAGCCGTCGACTATTTTTCCGCCGAGGATTCATCCCTCCTAACCCCCCCACCTCCAAGCCCATCCTCATCAGAAACTCTTCAGCCTTCATTGTAACAGCCTGCACAGTTTTCCCTACAGGACCTGCTTTGATGGTTTTGAATATAAATATGTTCAGATTTGAACCGATTAATAACTTTTATGCAGATGTATTCCAGTCTCAGTCACGACAAGTCACCACAAGGGGGCAGTGTCGGTTCGTTTACATATTCAAGCAGCGAAGATAAAAGCTGGGCTACAAGGGTATCATGTATGTACATGTGCTTTATGAGCCTGATTTTTCTCCGGGCAGAGCTTAACCTGCAGCTACAAGTTCTTCCACACACTCACTCACTACACCTCCTCCAGTTCTCATAAATCACGAAAAGTGAAAGTAGCATCAGAGATAAAGATCGCATGGCCTCTCCGCAGATAAATACGAGTTCTGGTGGAACATGTGATCAAACAAGCGTTTGTTTTCAGCTACATTTAGATGCTTATAGAACATACTCTAAGAGTTTTTTCACTGATGGGTCTATTAGAAAGGAAAAATTACTATTACTGTGGATATTTTTCTGTATAATCATAACTGTTTATCATAAACTGAAGGAGTTGACTTCATTTCTGTTTCATTCATGCATCAAGAGTCTGTTGCCATAACAACAACCTCACAACAGAAACGTCTCGCTGCATAATTTAAAGAAGTAGCACTAAAGCAGTTAGCTGGTTGGACTGTAGAAATACATATTTGTATATTTCAGTGAAATCTGCTCATAAATGTTCATATGTGATAGTTCCAGTCAGAGGTTTACTGTATATACAGTCATCACTGGCAGTGAAGTAATTAACTCTGCCTTTAAACTGCTCTTCCTGGGTCAAATGATTAATCTGTTGTTCAAGTTGTACATTGACCCCAAAAGCTTCTGATGCTCCTCTAGACAGAACGAGCAGAATTCCTTTAAATTGTTCAGTTTTCATTCAGCCCCTCTCAGGCTGAGTAAGAAACAACATCTACAGCTATCCAGATGTAAATCTGGGGGTGGCAGCATGATGCTGTGGGGTTGTTTCACTGCCCCACAGCATCATGGGGCAGGGAACAATGATGAAATAATTAAGATGAAACATTTTCAACTGAAATATGGACATTACTGGGTGTTTTAAAAGGGACAATAATATCAAAAACACACCAACCAAGGTTTTGGTTTGGGTACAGCAGGTGGATATTAGGACTAGTTCTAAGATCAACGTCAGCTAAAAATGTTTTTTATTAAAGTTAAAAGACAAATCTGCTTCAGAAAACAAAAAGCAGTTTGTTTTTTGCAACATGCTGATCAATAGTGGGATGTATGCTCATAGTTAAACCAAGAAAGACAGAGAAAGAAAAACAAAGAGACAAAATAAGACAGACAGAAAGAGACAGAATGAAAAAACCTGCGGGAGTTTTAATGTATCTGAATGCCTACATGCCATGTTGCCCGTTTAATTATTTGAAAGAAAAATTTTTCATGAAAAAACTGCTCAACAGCAGAAGTGCGCAGAAACCTGAAAATGAACTTAAAGTATTTGTGTAAATCCAAGGTTTCAGAACAAATGCACAATAAACCCGGCTGTCTTCAGTCTCCGAGAAAAAGTAGCACTCAGGAACAAACTGTGGCAAAACAAATGCAGGCTGAATATCCGCTGAGCTTCACAGAAACACAAAACACTTTGTTACGTGAAACGTTCTCCTCTCCAGGCAGCGGCCCTAATACCACAGGGCAGGAAAAACACTCAGGGAATTTTTCTAGTGTAGCCAGTTCCTCTTTCACAACCATTCATCTGCATCGCCTGGATTGAAAGTGGAAACTTTGACTTTCCTCTTTTCCAGAGTGTCTACCATTAAGTCGGCTTAATTAAAGGGACAATTCACAAAAATACGGAAAGAGTTTGTGAAACAACTGAAAACTAAAAAAGTATTTCAATGTACAAGATGTCATAGCTTAAGAACATATCTTTAAAAAATTCCAGCACTAGACAGATACGATCAAGTCGAAAGTATTCTCGTCACTGCAAATTTAGATTTTAATTTATTTTTGATCAACCGAGAAGTTTGTTCATTTTAAGAGATAATGTAGGACAAAAGAGTATCAGCTATGGATATAATGAAAAACAAAAACATTTCACAATAAAAGGCATGTTCAATAATCAATGGGAAAAAACATTGGAGGCCTCTTTGCCATCACCCTAATCTTTAGCTTCCTTCACAAAAGGAACAAAATATCTTCCATTCAGAAAAGGCATGATAGTTTAAAACAAACAAGTATTTAAACCTAAATTTGCAGGGGGTATGTACAGTTTTGGGCTATCCTGGATGAACTGTAGTGATGGAAACTTAAAGAACATCATCAGCATTTCTGCTGCAGCATGTGAAGCTATCTTAAGGCTTTTCCCAATCATTTTTAGAAGCAATTTTATGCCCTGTACCCTGGGACTAATAATCCTCCAAATTAAAATGTTCTTAGAAGATCATTAGGCTTATTTGAAAAAAATAAATAAAAAATAGTTTTACAAATGACATTGTTACAGCAATGCCTTCACATACCACATGCTCATTTCAATGCGCTTGTCATTTTTTAAAATTCATTTTGGACCCAGACACATTTGGATACCCGACATAAAAAGTCTAATATTTTGCAGTACATTTTAGAAGAAAACTGGAATTTCTCTTTAAAAAAGGACTTTTTTTTTTTTTTTTTTTGAAAAAAAAAAAAAAAAAAAAATGGAATCGGAGGTTAATGCTAGAAGGGCAGCCTAATCCCGGCTATAATCAAGTAAACTGCAGTGTTGTTAGCAAGCTGATGGGCCTTAGCGGGGGGATTAGATCATGATCCAAGTCAAACAAGCTGGTTAAACATTTCTCTTCTTTTTGGATGTGGAGGAGTCTGTGTGTTAGTCATACCTTCTCCAGTGGAGGACCTCAGGTTGTTATCTAGATCATTCGTTCCCCGTTCCCTAAAAAAAAGAAGAAGACATAAGTTCAAACAATATTTCCTGCATGAACATGTTCAGACTGGAAATACCAAAAGAAAAAAGAAAAAAAGAAAGAAAACTGCAACATGAGCTGTTCATCGTTATGAACTATCCAATTACCTTTCTCTTCTCTACTAGCAAGCACTTGACAAACAATACAGAGATAAAAACTCAGAACTGAATTATTCAGTGGTGAAACCTACACTCCTGTGTGTCATGTGGAAGAAGAGTTAAGACTGCTGTGTGTTTATCGGAGTATTAAATAACCTGAGACAAACTGTGGCTGCTGCTGGTCACCATGATTGGCCGTAACTCCATCCAGACTCAGAGGAGGGGATAAACAAACAGATGACAGGCTCATCATTCAACACATCGGTCGAAACATGACTGCAGGCGAGTCTATACGTACAGACTCCCTGAAATGCGAGCAGGTCTAAATTAAGGAGGCAGAACAAACAAAAATATCAACAATAAAGCTGTTAAGGATAGTTGACAACATTATATTACAGGGTTGTGGCTTGGAATGCTGTTTTATAGACCCATGTGCTGTAATTCATTGTTGGTTACAACTCTGACAAAGAATTGCAACTTGTAAGCGTTAAATGTTATCTAGCTGTTTTAGATATACTACGCTATACGGTGATTAGAATATATTTCTTCTTATTATTAGCATGGCTGAAACGTGTTGTCTTCATGGGAGAAGTAACGTGGTCAAACTGTAACAAGACAATAGATTAAAAATGAAGAAATGCCAGTGAGAGTAGATTTATACAACACATTAGCATTTTCTCATTAGCTCTCCACAATAAACATGATAACCATGAGTGCTTGAGATTAATTAAACTCAAGGTTTTTACCAACATCTCTGGCAAACAAAGAGCACAGCTGGTGAATACATGACAAAAGCAGCCATTAATTTATCGCCATGTGCAAGCTTCAGGCTATTTACACTGTTGATATCAGCAAAAGCTATCAACAACTGGTGGGCACTGCTAGCTAAAAAGTTAGCTGCAATAACCCTAATGAGCGAATCACAAACATTAGTTCCGCTAACAGTAACGCAGTACACCATCACGGTTATTTAGCAGGAGCTAATGCTAAGGCCCTAGCTTCAATCCAAATGATATCTGCCCATTAAGGACTACAACCCTCAAGCATCGATTTAGTTTTGGCATAATTTACATGTTGTGTATGTTTTTTGTTTGAAATACAATCATGGGGGATGGGAGTGGACCCGAGAAGAGGAAACGGAACTGCTGTGTAAATGATCTCCAGCCACTTCAAAATAAGAGCACTGATATAAACATTGAACTACTTGAAGAACTCTTAATAGGTGATGATCAAAACATTAAGACAGATGGTGAACCTTATTTACCTAAAAGTTTATAAAACAGTCAAGTAAATTAACACTTTATAATTTATGGGGGAAATTAATTTAGAGGAAGCTAAGTATGCTAAATATTTTCAAAGTTAGCAAAAGCGCGAAAGGAAAAGGTGCTATTTGTGTTTTAGGGAAGTGTGCTCATCACTGGTCCAAATTCCTGAAAGCTGGAAAATACAATGACTTCATGAGAATGAAAGCAAACTGAACCAGAACAGGCCATTTCAAGTTAAAATACCAGTAATAAATGTATTTAAATTTATTGTAAACAACCATAAAGTCATAAATGGTTTGCTCAAAGATTACTGTAGTCGAGAGTGTATTTAATCTTCTATAGGGTGAATCAATGGATGGTGAAGACCTTTTATGGTTAACGTGTTAACTTCCTGTGGTCTGTCACAGGAGTAACTTTCACCACATTATTCCATGTCTAGGCAAATGCACTTTTTGTGTTCCCTCTGGAGGTTTCCAACATTTTTCCAAAACACCATGTGGATGGCACAGACTGACGAGAGCAGCACCAACAGCTCCAAACATACATCCAGCTTCCTTCCTGCTTTCCTCCTACCCAACCCTCTTCATCTTTTTTTTTCTGTCCTCCACTCAAAGTAAAAATCTTTCTCGTTTTTCCAGCCAAACAGGTGTCACCATTCCAGACTTCAGAGCACTCAGAATGGTCATTCATCATAACCAAGCAGTGCACATCATGTCCGATGAAAAAATAGAAATTCCCGTCCTGCCATGAGCCGGTGAGCCAATTGCTCATCTATCCAACTTTTCACTGCAGCCAGGTAGTTATCGCAGCAAGTGAGCCATTCAGTGAAACAATGGCACATTGAGGCGTGCAGCCGGCGTAAGAGCCAGTCGGTTGGGCATATTAAGTCAGTAAATCTGACAATCATCCCAGCATGTAGTGGAGCCAGTCAGCGCAGAGGGAGAAGCGTGCAGACATCGAAAAAATAAACATGTTTTTCAGGAAATGACATTCGACGGCTACGGTGGAATTTTCCTTCCCCCCCCCC